TGAAGAACTGAGGGACAGCATTCAGGCCCAGAGTTCAAGCCCCACCATGGACAAAATAAAATAAAATAAAAGCTAAATAGCTCATAACAAAACTAAGAATTTGAACTCCAAACTTCATGTCTATGTCAATGTCCAGAGTCTTTATATAAGTCATGCTATATTACTTCAATTCCTGCCTTTCAGAGAGGTGGTACAAACATTTAGCAGAGTTCTAGAGAAGATAACAGCAGTACAAGTAGGCAAAGTTCACAGGGAGAAGCTTTTTGCAGGGGTGGGCAACAACTAGCCTATGGACACTATAAAGCCAAGAAATAATCTGGTACATGGTAAGATGGACATGTTCTCACATACCTATATTAAAAATTTTGTATAGCTCTCAAATGATGTTACAGATATCCAAATGGCTCTTGGCATAGGTCAGGTTCCCCATCCCTATTAAGAGATATGAAGGGCTTGCACAAAACTCTGTGCTTCCTAGGTTAGATGGGTATAATACTGGCATCTCAGCAGTATATTCTCCAGTGGAAGGATTTCATCATGCACTATGGTTCATTTAGCATGTCTGTCCCATTACATAGATTCTGAAGGCCTATAATATATATGTTCCCAATCTTTATAAAAATCCTCTTCTCCACATTTCCAAATGCCTGTGGAGAAAGGGGATTAAATCATCCCTTCAGAGTATCACTAGATAAGAATTAAGCAGGACTAGGGATGTAGCTCAATGTCAAAAGAGCTTGCCTATACTCAGGAAGCTGAGATCTAAGGATCGCAGTTCAAAGCCAGCCCGGACGGGAAAGTCCGTGAGACTCTTACCTCCAATAAACCATTCAGGAAAACAAAAGTGGCGCTGTGGCTCAAGTGGTAGAGCACTAGCCTTGAGCTGAAGAGCTGAGCGACAGCTCCCAGGCCCAGAGTTCAGGTCCCATGACCAACCAAAAAAAACAGTGCTTGCCTAGCATATGTGGATCCTGGATTCTATCCTAGCACTGAAAAGAAGGAGGAAAAAAAGAAAAGACAACAAAGAAGAAAGAAAAGAGAAGGAATAACGGGCAGAAAACAAGAGACACAGCACAGGGGAACATAAACAAAATTTAGTAAGGAATTGGCGAAAAAGGGTTATGACTCTTAATGACTCTCAGTAACTTCTAAGATTAATAGATAATACTCTTTAGGAATTGGCCCTGTTGCACTCCACCTTCTCCCTTAGTGTTCTGTAACTCCAGTCATTCTAACTTGTGGTTTTCCTGACCTAGAGTGCTATGTTCATATTTCAGTGCCTTTGCATGTTCCCTTTGCCTAGAAAGCACTTCACAAGGCAGTTATACATCAACACCAAGCTCAAAAACCCGTAAAGCCATATAAAGACATCTCCACATCCTTCAGTCCTTTTTCTCCTAGCACTTCATAGTCCTCCCTTAATGGCCACTGTCTCCTGGACCCCTTTAATTACATGCACTTAATCAGTTCTCTGATCTCTAACTCTTTATTTTCCTTGGTGTGTTTTTCATAACTTATTTTTTATTGACACCAGAAGGCAAGCATTCCTTTTAGTTCTCAGGCTTTTTTTCCTAATCCTAATCTACCCAAAAACTCCAACTAGTATCTCTATAGAGATTTCCCCCACAAAAGTCACTCAATATTTCAAACTCAATTTCTCCCAAATAGACATTCATCTTAGTTAACAAGTATAAAGCTTAAATGTCTCCTCTTATTCCTACCATTCCTCCCTTGTACATACTTCTCACCAACTCAGGTTCCTCTTTCTTTGCTGCTGCTGCTGCTCGTTCATTTTTCCTGCCAGTGATGTCTTTGATTCTCTATTCGACCTTAGTCATTCCTCCACCCTGTACCGAGACTTGAACTTCAGGCCTTAAGCTTCCTCAGCTTGCTTGCTCACAGCTGACACGCTACAACTTGAGCCACACCTTCAGCCTGGCTTTTTGCTGGTTAACTGGAGATAAGAGTTGCTTGGACTTTTCTGCTCACACTGGCTTTGAACCACTATCTTTCACAGGTTTCAGTCTCCTGAATAGCTAGGATTACAACCATGAACCACTGGCACTCAACTTCTCAGTGGTTAACCTTTCTGGATTAATAAATTCCTTTGAAAATCTGCTGAATTCTCTTAACACTTGCCTCCATCTGCTACTGTCCACTGCTACTGAACTTCTGCACCTCTAGATAGTTACAATGGCCTGATTCTTTGATACTTTTATCATTCTCACCAGTTTTGAGCTATCACCACCAAAAATTTACCTCTTTCATGTTAACGCTGCCAGGTGCCCATGGCTCATGCTTGTGATCCTAGCTACACAGGAAGCTGAGGTATGAGAATCATAGTTCAAAACTAGCCCAAGCAGGGAAGTCTATAAGAATCTTATGGACCACCAAAAAAAGCTGAAAGTAGAGCTGTGGCTCAGGTGGTAGGGTGCTAGCCTTCAGCAAATCAACAAAAACCTCAGGGACAGTGCCCAGGCCCTTAGTTCAAGCCCTAAAATGGGCACGCGCACGCACGCACACACACACGCACACGCACACACACACACACAGTTAATACTACCCCCTTGCACAAACACACAAACTCAGTCTTGCCACCAAAATCCTCTACAGTCTGTTACCTAAGTACTTTTCCAGGATTAGATTCCACAGCTCAAGCTGTCACTTGCTCCTATTATCTGCCTATCAAAATCACACCCACTCTTAAAGGCACAAGTCAAACTTCAGTCTTCATCTTCATATTCTTCACATAACAATTAGGAAAGAGTCTTGAACAAATTACCTATATTACCTAATGAACTAACCCAGAAAATGAAAGAAGTAATTGCTGAAGAACTGTTAGAAATCCTTAAATCCTTCTGGAAGAATTAAGCTTGTAAAAACCAAAATCCAAACGTTAAAATTACAGCTAAAAAGCCTTCCTATACTCAGCACTGTTGATCAATTTTGATCAAATGCTAATAATAAACCATTTAGAGATTCAATTTACACTCAGACATATCATCAACATGAAGATAGATAAAAGGCTTTTGACCTAGGATTCAAATTTCAATTATACTTCCATTTTAAATAAAACTTGCAATTTACTTAAAGAGAATTTAGCAACTTCTAAGTGGAGACTTACAAGGCTAAATAAATACACAACAGCAATAAAATTAGCTCCCAAACTAAACCACCTTCAGACAGACTTTTTGGGGAGGCAGGGAGCTGACATGTCCTAAGATACTTTTCTCTTGATCCATATTTTAAACAAGTGAACTCAGTTAAAAATGAGAATGTGAGGAGTAATGAGCTGCTCACAAGACACATTTACTGGCACACTCACCAGCAGATGCAAGAGCAATGATCTTCATGACAGACAAGTGATGTTTGGGACAACACTTTCTCTCCATTACTCTGTTAAGTCCTTGTTTCTTTTAGGCCTAGCCTAATTTAATTTGCTTTTGGCTTCTAAACCTGTAAAGTCAAGTTTAATGTTCAGTGTTGTACACCGTGAAGCATTTTGCTCTTAAGAAAACAAGAACCTTCAGGAATCAGGATCTTTTTAAAAAGAACATTGATTATTCTATCTAATTAAGACAGTTGGTGATACATGCCCTCCTTGACATAATTAAGACTATACCAATTTGAATGCATTTCTGAAACAGACTTGCTTATAAGAATGAAATATGCTAAAATTATGAAATATTAATATAACTCTTAAGGAAAGCAGGGCATAATGTACGGAGCTGTAGCATTTCAAACTGGATCTCAGCTTACAATCAAAAAGTCTGACTCTTAAATTATTCGACCTTGAGAAATGGCTTCACCTGCAAATCTTTTCTTAGTTGAAACGGAGTTATCTCTTTCCCTTCCTCAAGGTGGCTAGCCAGGAATAATTAAATCACGTAGGTAGCACACTACCACAGGGCACTCAGAAGATTCGTTTATTTCAACACAAAAGATACTCACAACTTGATGTAAGAGATCTATTTCCACAAGTCTTCAAAAACACTACAGCTAGTTTGTTCTAGTAAAAACAATACTGTCACCATCATTTCTGAGAGATGTGGATCAAGATAAGAGCTTGCATGGGATTGTGCAAGATCATTACAGATATGCACACACACACACACAGAAAGAGAAAGAGAGAGAGAAAGAGAGAGAGATCACTAAAATGTTAACAGGAAATATCCATGGTAATTAAGCAAAAACATCTCTTAACATTTACGTTAAGAGCTCACAAGGGTTAAGGGGAGGAAAAAAAGGAGTCAAATTAGGCCCAACTCCAGATCTTTAATTAATCAAGAGAGTGATTCTGGCTTATTCTTCCTGAAGCACAAACAGTATGATATTAAAATACAATTTAAAAACTTCGAGGTTCAAATATTCCACAACCAGAAATGGTGACACTAACGCCTTTTCAGAAAGCCTGCGCAGAAAAGCACTATTAGCACCAATGGAGGTATTTATGGAAAGCTGATCGCAGTACTGAGGCAAGAGGAGGAAGGAAAAAAATAATCATTTCAATTTTCTGCACATACAAACCGAGGCGAATGGCTTTCAAAACCACGGCCGTCCCGGCCACTACCGAACAAGCGTCCCGTGGAATTCCCGGTCTTACAATCGAATACCAAAAAGAAGACCATGACACTTGCAAACCAGGCGGGGTTGGAGGGGGGTGTCGTTTCCCTTCCCTTCTCAGGGTCCAGAACTCAAAGTATGCTTTGGAGGAATCGCGTCTCGAGGGTCTCTGCGTCCTGGCCTCCGCCCCTCGAGTGCCTCCCCCACCCCCCAACGGCGACTGAGAGCCGAACCGGGAAGCACCTTCGAGTAACACCCCAACTGCGACCCGCCCCGCCCCTCCCCATCCCCAGACGCAGACCAAGGAGAAGCCTAGGGTCGGGGTCGCCGCCGCGCCAGAGGCCGAGAGTTGCGGGGCGAGGCCGCAAACTGCGTCCGCCGCCACCTCAAGGGAGGGGTGTCCAGGCGCGGCTGGATCTGAGGGTGATGGCACTCACCACACCATGCCGTAGGCACCCTCGCCGATGTACGAGAGATTGGTGTAGCGCGGTCCCACGTCGAACACCTGCCCGCGGACCATCTCCGGGCCCGCGCCCGCTGCCGCCGCCGCCGCCATGTTGGCTGCCCAGCCGCCGCTTCCTCCGCCGCTCTGGGCTCAACGCTTCGCGATCTCCGCTCAACCTCTGCTGTGCCTTCCGAAGAGACTGTGCCGTCGCCCCTGCAGCCGCCGCGGCTGACCGGGAAGGAGGAAAGAGGACGACACTCCAGAGGTTAAGAGCTGACCGCAGCTCGGACCGTCTCTGCCAGGCTTGACTGACGGGCGGGCCGGCGGGCGGGCGGAGGGAGGGGCACGCGCCTAAGGAGGCGCAGGGGCGGGGTCAAGAAACGTGCGCGCGGATTGGCTTGTAGTAGTCGGGGGGCGGAGTCTCCGCGGATGGACGGAAGCCGCGAGCTCTGGGAGGAGCACTGCGGCGGCGGCAGTGGAGAAGGAGGCGGCAGCGGTGGAGGGGGCGCCGCCCGGCGAGGTCACGTGTGTTCGCGGGCGTGCCGCGCGCTTGGTGGCTCTTGAGAAGGTGTGGGAGACCCGGCTGGGGGAGACCGAGCCTCGGAGACACCGCGGTCTGAGAGACTACCAGGGGACGGCACGCCACGGGAACAAAATCCCAACAGTCAGAGAAGGCCCTGGGCCTGCGCGTGAGGCCGGACGAGGTACCACACACACTGGCCCCTGTACTCTGGGACCCCATAGCTGTGAATCTCTGGAGGCCTACATACTGATGAACTTGGCCTCCGGACTAGGATAGAAACCGAAAAAGCTTGACCGAGACCTAGAAAGATATTTGCATACGGAGAAAGTTTGAGACACAAACATAGACACACACACACACACCAAACAAAAAACAAAAATGAGAGACTAAATCCACGAACCAGAGGTTTGTTCAACCAGTACTTGTTGAGTACTTAGCATGTGTTTGGAGATCCATCCTTACCCAAGTTACCTTCTAGAAAGAGGAAACAAATACATTATTTAAGCTGTTTTATGAAGAAATATAAAGCATAATAAGAGATTCAAGGGTAGAGGGATGGGATACTTAAGAAAGCAATTGAGGGCAAAAGGTGGCTCAGTGGTAGAGCGCTTGCCTTGCATGCCTGAGGCCCTGGGTTCGATTCCCTCAGTACCACATAAGCAAAAAGAAAAAAACCGGAAGTGGCGCTGTGGCTCAAGTGGTAAAGTACTAGCCTTGAGCTGAAGAGCTGAGGGACAGCGCCCAGGCCCAGAGTTCAGGCCCCACGACCGGACCCAAAACAAACAAACAAAAAAAGCCATTGAAACATAATAGTTCTCAGATTATTACAGATCAGCTGATACTTAAGCATAGGACATATTCAAATATAAATGCAGAAAAGATAGAGTCGCTAAAACGGAAACAAACAAAAATCTAAAGAATAGAAAGTTACAAACACCAGAGATTGAAACAAAAATGCTACCTGTCATCCTAGCTACTCAGCTGGAACCTGGAATATAGTCATTGGGAATCAGCTGTGGCAGAAAGTCCATGAAATTCCATCTCTGATTAACCAGCAAAAATTCTAGGTTGGAGGCATGACTAAATGATAAGGTGCTAGCCATGCTCAAACTTAAGATACAAAAAACTACCACAAAACACTCTACAGTAACCAATGTAAAAGCAATATAAATCAGCAGTAGAGAAGATAGACATGACAATATTTTCACAAATACCTAACAGTGATGAAACTCCTTAAGAAAATTCTTTAAGGCAAAGGAAACAATAATGGGAACTTAAAATACAGATATTCTTAAAAGAAAACAAACAATAACCAGAATTATAGTGAAAGAAAACTTTCCTATGATCTTAAGTGGAGATGGAAAATTGAATGAATTCACTAGGATCAATAAAAGTTTATTAAGCAGAGGACTAAGAGACTTGCCACTTAATTGAATTCCATAATGAAATAATTTGAAATGAAGCTAGTCACTAAAAGAAGAAGTATTGGTTTTCTACTAAACTTGCAGAATGTTAGGTAAGACAACAAAAAACAAAACCACCAGCAGCAGCAGCACCAAAATATACAAAGAGCTCAAAAACTTAAACAGCAAAAAGAAATTAGTCAAAAGATAAGTAAATTGAAGGGGCTGGGAAGGTGGCTCAGTGGTAGAGTGCTTGCCTTGCATGCATGAGGCCCTGGGTTCAATTCCTTAGCACCACATAAGCAGAAAAAGCCGGAAGTGGGGCTGAGGCTCAGGTGGTAGACTGCTGGTCTACAGCTGAAAAGCTGGGGGACAGCGCCCAGGCCTAGAGTTCAGGCCCCACAACTGACAAAAAAAAAGAAGAAAAAGAAGAAAAAAGAAAGGATAAGTAAAGTAAATTGAACACAGTTCTCAGAAGAAATTTAAGGGCTGATAAATACATGAAGAAATGTTCATTGTTTTTAGTCATAAATGTAAATCAAAACTTACTAAGGTTTCATCTCACTCCAATCAGAATGATAGTTATCAAGAAAAACATCAGCAAATTCTGGTGCGGATATGAGGGAAAATGAACCCTCGTACACTGTAAGTGAAAATGTAAACTAATGCAACCAGTATGAATGTTCCTGAAAAAAAAAAAGCAACTAAAAATAGCTGGGTGCTGGCTCACACCTACAATCCTAGCTACTCAGGAGGCTGAGATCTAAGGATCTCAGTTCTAGGCTAGCCTGGGCAGGAAAATCTGTGAGACTCTTGTCTCCAGTAAACCACTCAGAAAAAACCAGAAGTAGCACTGTGGCTCAAGTAGTAGTGCTCTACTACTAGCCTTGAGCAAAAGAATCTTAGGGACAGCAATCAGGCTCTGAGTTCAAACCCCAGGACTTAGAAAAAAATTTTAATTAAATTAAAAAAACTAGAAGTAGACTTGCCTTATGACTTTGCCATAACATTATTGGATATATAACTAAAGAAGTTTAAATCAATATACAAGAAAGATATCTGCATACCCATGTTTATGCAGCGCTGTTTACAGTGGCCATACAAGAATAAGTCCAACAGCAGATGACTGGATAAAAGAAGTATACACACATGCGCCAAGGAATATTACAGAGCCATAGATAAAATGAAATTGTGTCATTTGTAGAAAAGGGACCATCCTTTTCAGAGATGCCAAGCTCAAAAAGCCAAGTATCATGTTTCCAGTCATTTCTAGAATGTGAGATCTAAAGAGCATGGACATGTAGTCATCACAGTCATATATATAGATACAGAACATGATCTAACTATGGGATTATTTAGTGAGATGAGAAGAGACAGAAAAAATAATGAAAATAATTTTGAAACTATGAAGATAGCATTAGGAATCTCAGTGAAAGCTGTTGATCAATAGGGGTTTGTGGGATCAGGGAAAGAGAAGTAGAAAGGGTTATTCTAATTAAAATGCAATACATGCATGTCTGGACAAAAAGGAAAATTTATTAGCAGAAGCCAACTTGAAGACATAATTTGGATCCAGGTATAATGGTCCATGTCTGTAATTCTAGCTACCTTAAGAGGCAGTTTAGTTTTTCTTCTTTGTAATGTGACTAAGAAGATGGGGGACATTTAGACAGAGCACCTACCAGAAGCAGCCAATCATATTTCAAAATAAGAAGGGGTCCTTCTGGGAGAAAGAGCAAGGAGAAGCTCTCCCAATGCTACAAGAACAACTGTCTAGAGCTGGGAAAGGCTCAGTGGTAGAGTGCTTGCCTTGCATGCATGAGGCCCTGGATTCAGCAGGGCCTGCGAAGCCTCCCTCAGCACCACATAAGCAGAAAAAGCAGGAAGTGGCTCTCTGAAAAGTGGTAGAGCTCTAGCCTTGAGCTGAAGAGCTGAGAGACAGCGCCCAAGCCCAGAGTTCAGGCCCATGACAGAGAAACAAAAAAACAAACTGTCTAGGCTTCAAGATGCCCAAAGAGGCTATAGAGGCACCTACATTTACGAGTAATGAAATGCCCCTTCACTGGTAATGTCTCCATCCTAGGACAGATTTTGTGGGGTGTAGTGACCAAGATGAAGATGCAGAGGACCACTGTCATTCATCAGGACTACATCCACTACATATGCAAGTAAAATCAGTTCAAGAAACACCACAGGGATTTATCTGCACACCCATCCCCCTGTTTTAGGCCAGTCCAGATCGATGACATTGTCACCATGAGTGAATGCCAACCCCTGAACAGGACTGTTTGAGTCAATGTGATGAAGGTCACCAAGGCTGGCACTAAGAAGCAATTCCAGAAGTTCTGAGACTGGACACTTCCCACTCCCCAGGATGAAATAATTTTCCACCCAAAAGATGTAGAAACAGGAGTTAGAGACCAGCCTAGGCAATGATGGCGAGACTCTGTCTCAAAAACAAAATTAAGGGGCTAGGAAGGTGGCTCAGTGGTAGAGCGCTTGCCTTGCATGCATGAGGCCCTGGGTTCAATTCCTCAGCACCTCATAAGCAAAAAGAAAAAAGCCGGAAGTGGTGCTGTGGTTCAAGTGGTAGAGCTCTAGCCTTGAGCTGAAGAGCTGAGGGACAGCGCCCAGGCCCAGAATTCAGGCCCCACGACTAGAACCCCCCCCCCCAAAAAAAAAAATTAAAACAAAAGGGTTTGGGGAGTGAGGCTCAAGTAGATGCTTGGCTAGAACACACTAGGCTTAACAATTGATCTCATGCAGACTTCTTTGCAATAATTGAAGGAAAATAAAACAAGACTGGCAGAATTTGGAAGTGGTAGAAAGTGACCCTAGTTGGATGATTTCGTTTACACTGATGCCTTAATTTCTCTAGATTCTGCAGTGTTTTTGGAATGACTCTTTTTTTGGATCCAGTTCAGCATATCTCCTCCCACAGAGTCATCAGCTCCACATATATGGACTGCCAGAGCATTTGAATCTTGCCCTATCCATTTACCACTAGTGAAAACTTGCCTCCATTTCCCAAGACATAAAATGGGGATTGCAATAATACTTGACAGGTTGGTTATAAAGAGTGAATAAATGGTGGCTCACACCTGTAATCCTAGCTACTACAGAGGCTAAGATCTGATAGTCAGTTCGAAGGCAGCCTGGGCAGGGAAGTTGGGGAGACTTTTAACTCCAATTAACCATGAAGAGCTGGAAATGGATCTGTGGCTCAATTGGTAGAGAAGTAGCCTAGAGTACAAAAGCTCAGGGACAGAGCAAAGGCCGCAGAGTTCAAGTCCCAGGACCAAAAAAAAAGGAATGAAACATACTGGGTACTAGTGGTTCACACATGTATTCCTAGCTACTTGGGAAGCTAAGGGACGATTGAAGTTAGAGCCCAGCTTTGGCAGAACAATTCA